TCTCGAGGGAGGGGCTATATGTACACATATAGCTGATTCACTTCATTGTACAGCAGAACCTAACACAGCATTGTAAAGCAACCACATCCCAATTAAAAAAGAAAATGCACATATAACCCAACAGAGCAGAATGTTCATAGATGTAAATGCCACCTATGGGTGCTAAGGATCGTTATCAAGGTTTTAGAGCTTGCTCCGACTGATACATAATAGTGTTGGCAGACTGCAGCCCTAGTGGCCGCAGGCATGTTTCACTGGGTTGTTGCGTCACATGAAAATCCAGATTCCTGCCTGGGCCCACCACATTCCTGCCTGGCAGCAGCTGACGGGGCTGAGTGATGGTTGTTCTCTGATGTGGAGACAGGGCCTCCTGGTTAGTCAACGTCGCACCTCTCCCAAAATGCCTGCATGTGTGAGAACTTAACCCATTTCACTCGCATTGCTTGGCCATCCCATGGCCATTTTCGCTCGGGAGCCCTGAAATACAACATGCCCACATGAGTCACAGGAAAGGATTGATGCCTTTCTACTATAATATGTGTGCGTGCTAAGTTGCTTCAGTCGTGTCCAACTCTGTGACCCTTTGGGCTGTAGCCCGCCAGGCTCCTCTCTCCATGGGGATTCTCCAAACAAGAATACTGGAGTAGGTTGTCATGCCCTCTTCCAGGGGATCTTCCTGACCCAGGGATCAGGAACCCGCGTCTTCTGCATCAGCAAGCAGATACTTTACCACTAGCGCCACCTGGGAAGCCTCTCTGCTATAGTATGTGCTGTGCTGTGCCTGGTCGCTCAGTCGTGTCCAACTCTTTGCGAGCCCATGGTCTGTAGCCCATCAGGCCCTTCTGTCCATGGGGATTCTCCAGCAAGAATACTGGAGTGGGTTGCCATGCCCTCCTCCAGGGGATCTTCCCAACCCAGCGGTCGAACCCAGGTCTCCCGCCTGGCAGGCAGATTTTTTACCAGCTGAGCTACCAGGGAAGCCCCTACTATAGTAGTACAGCATTTGCTCTAATATCTAATAGTGAATCCATTTGGCCCAACAACCTAGGATGGTTTTGGCAAAGATGATGATGCAGATCCAGGGCTAAAGAACTACAACAGAAAATAAGGTTGGAAAATGCTGACCCCCTGTGTCGGGCAGTCTTTGAAATCTAGGAACCATGCCCAGGCAAACCGGGCCCCTAGAAATCCAAACCCCTCCCGCCCCCCCCCCCAAGCCGCAAGACCTTCCTGGGGGTGGTGTGGGGTTCCTACACACCGCTGTGCACCTTGGCCAACTCAGGCCCCCATAACGTGTGAGCTGCCAGCTCTGTCGCGGTTCTCACCACAAACCTGGAATGCATGTCTTCATTTATTTTGAAAAGCTTCAGGACTTTTTCCCTCCCAGATGTTAAACATTAAATGGCAGAGCCGATAGAGACGGACCCACTGTGACTTTGATTTTGGCATAGGCCATAATGCTCTCGCTGCTGGAGGAGCTCCTGTGGGGGGGGTGGGGGGGTGGGGGAGGCGTGTGTCCTTAAAGAGATAGCCACCAGCCCCCTCCTCCCCTCATTCTCCCAAGAAGAGCCCGCGCATCTCTCTCCCATCAGCAAACACAACTGCTTTTAATTCCAAAGAGCTGTTTTTCTCTTATCATTCATTTTGGCGGTAGAAAAATAACTCTTTGATATAAAAGACGGCAAGCCTACTAGAAATTATTATTATTATTAGATTAGTAAGAGCAGCGGTAATAAATTGGACCGAACAAGCATTGATGTAATGGACCCTCCTGGCCCCAAGCACAGAGCTGTCAGCTCTGCTTAACTCGCCTTTCTCTCTGCCCTGGGTTATGAGTGCTTGTGTGTCTGTCTGCCTCCCCGCTGGAGTTGTCAGCACCTGGAGGGCACAGGCCTCGTCTTGTTCGCTGTTTTACCTCCCAGCCCTCCGTGGTACAAAGCACAGAGAAGTGCTTAATCAATGCACCAAATAGGGTATTCAGGAAAGCCTCGATTAGCTGGAAACCTCATTGAACTGAATTTTATAAATGACTCTCTCCTCGAAAGAGGACAAGGCCAGTGGGAGAGGATAAGCTCAAGGATTAGACGGTTTCTGTTCTGTTTGGGCTTTTGTCTAAAGCATTTTAAAGAACTGGTCTGGGCTTTGTCCCTGAACTATGACTGGGGCAGGAGAGCGCTTCCCTAGTAGCTCAGAAGGTAAAGCATCCGCTTGCAGTGCAGGACACCTGGCTTCAATCCTTAGGTCAGGAAGATCCCCTGGAAGAGGAAATGGCTACCCACTCCAGTATTCTTGCCTGGAGAATCCGTGGACAGAGGAGCCTGGTGGGCTACCATCCATAAGGCCACAGTGAGTCAGACACAACTGAGTGACTAACACAGAGACAAGAAGATAGTTTCCAGCACTGACTATAGGTTGTCCTGGGGCCTATAAATTCATTCATTCAACAAGTGTTCATTGGCCATTTACCATGCACACTGTTCTAGGCAGTAAAGACCTAAGCCCTAAGCCACCACGTTCTAGCAAGGAAGGCAGGCAGACAGCAAACAAGGGAATGCGTAAACCTGTGTGCTATGTTAAGTGATCCTAAGAGCTGCAAAGAAAAATTAAACAACTTGAGGGAGTAGGGGTTCTTTAGGAGAGGGGACGTCTCGGGGGAGGGAGTGAAGCCAACAGATAATGGGAAAGATTTATCCAAGCAGAGGACCAGGCCAGTGCAAGGTGGAGAGGGACTGGAAGTTTAGGGAAGGAGACCTTTATACTAGACAGGCTGCCGGGGCTTCAGCTTTTATTCTGAGATGGGTTTTGAGCAGAGGGACAACGGGGTCTGATTTACATTTGAAAAGCATCCCTGTGGCTTCCAGAGGGCAGGAGTAAGAAAGAGAAGAGCATATACCACACTGCTGCACCATGCAGGCTCTCTGTGATGGTGACCTGAATGATGCGTATGGTGAGAAATGGTCACCGTGCAGGTTTCAGTGGTAGAGCTGGCAGGATTTTCTGATGTATGTTGTGTGTGTTGGGAGTCAGGGTGGGAATGTTGAGGGGAAGCCCCCATCTGACTCTGATGAGAGTCAGACAGTGATCAAGGATGACTCCAAAGTTTGGGCCTGAACACCTAGAGAGCCCAACACCTGTGAGAGATGGAGGTGTGCAGTGGGACAGGTGAGCTTACCTGGCTCTACCTGAATCTAAGCATCTTCTTGTGTAACACAAAATGAGGCTCTTGTCAATCTTGAGGGGCTGCTGTGTAAAGTGATGGGCAAAAAGATGTGGGTGAAGGCAGATTTTATACCTAGTCTTGCTTGTAAAGATTACCTCTATTCCCTCATCATTTTTGTCTAGAATCCATGCTACATTCTTTCAGGGTTTCTTACCTATTGCTTCACTATCATGGTTTCTCTCCAAGGGACGAATTAGAATTATAAGAGGGGGTGTTCTCATTACATAGATGAAAAGTGTAATTCCCAGGTCTACTCCAACCTATGAGTTCTCTGGCTAGAGCTGTGGGCTTGTGTGGGTCCCAAAGGTCTCCAGCTGTGCTCTGACGGTGAACTAGAAATTTAGAGTTCCAGCAAAGATGCGAACATGTGAAGATGATAAAGAGTGCCCTGTCTTAGAAGCATCTCTGATCTTGGGGGTGAAAACCTGAGTTTAAAGAATATTATTAGATTTATTATTATTAACAAAATATGCTAATATTCCTCCTAATACTAGAAGAAAATTAAGAGGAAAGGAAGAAACTAAGTATTTTTACTGTCTATATTAAAGGTGATATTAAAGTGATTTTGCATGGGAAAGAATATTATCCTATAATTTTACTACTTTTTGTGTTATTATTGTAAGTACAGTAGACTATATATTGGAATTCAGTAGAAAGTCATAATTTCTGGATATTCAGTAATAACTAGCTCTTCCAACAGTATAAAATGACACAGCTTTAAAAATTACACATGTGTATGTGTTTGTGTATATATATCTTAATAGGTATACATACACATATATGTCAGCAAATCTAAAAAATAGCAGAAATAACTCAAATTTTAATCAGTCATGTGACCTGCTCCTTCTTATTTTTACTTAAAATGTTTTATAAGTAAAAATTTACCAACTACTCCCACTACCAAAAGGTACTCTTATCTTTGCTGTGAGGGCTTCCCGGGTAACTCAAACCATGAAGAAACTGCCTGCAAAGTGGGAGACCTGGGTTTGATCCCTGGATTGGGAAGATCCCCTGGAGAAGGAAATGGCTACCCACTCCAGTATTCTTGCCTAGGAAATCTCTTGGACAGAGGAGCCTGTTGGTCTACAGCCCTTGGGGTCACGAAGAGTCAGGCACAACTGAACCACTAAGTTTCACTCCTTTTTCACTTTGAATTCCCTTACCTCACCACTGGGAGGTAGTAGCTCCCATTACTTTCTCTCTTTAAGGCGCATTTCCACCTGGAATATGGGCACATTGAACACACAGTAATTTTCAGGGTGTGGAGGAAAGTCGGGGCAATGTTTTATATGCCAGTAAATTGTGTGGGTCTTCTTATCATCTCCATTTAAAACACAAAGAAACCGGGACCTCCCTGGTGGTCCAGTGGCTAAGACTCTGCGCTCCCAGTTCAGGGGGTCTGGGTTCAACTTCTGGTCAGGGAACTAAGATCCCACGTACAGCAACTAAAGAGTTCTCACACTGCAACTAGAGACCCCACGTACCATAGCTAAGACCCAGTGCAGCCAAATAAATAAAAAATAGACATTAAGAAAAAGATGAAGAAACGGATGCTCAGAGAGGTTAAGTGATTTGCAGGAAGCCACACAGCTCAACCTGTGCAGAGCTGGCATCAGAACTCAGTTCTAAGTGCAGAGACCAATTTGCTAACCACAAGGCTAAGTACCTCTCTGCAGCCGAAGAAATTATTTCAATCTACTGTCAAACGTGTCTTAAGGGATGAGCTGGTCCTTTGGAAGGTTTCTGAAATCTACAAAGTGCCATACAGATATGAGGCAATCTATGGGTAGTAAAACTGTATCCTGGCTCTCCCATATTGCCCTACCAAGATTCCACACTCCTTGAGCATGGGGAGCTCCGGCTTCCCCTTTTCTTGGGGAAAGGCCAGCACACAGTGGGTACCGCAGGCACGCTCACTGAAGTGCTCATTTGAATTTGTCCGCTCTGTAAAATCAGAGAAGCCAGAATTAATTCGGTTGCACTGTATTATTAATGTTGCTGAGATTGATATCAGCGCTGAATGCCAGAGGAGCATTCCAACCGCCTGTCCTCTTGAATACGCAAAGAAAGAGCGATGAAACAGTTTCCAGTTTCCCCCAGCGAGGGCCCGCCTAGTACTGATTCATAACTTCCATTCAGACTCGACACCAGAGCAGGCAGCAAACTGAAGGGACAGCTTCTTATCAACAGCTTATATGACAACAGCTGACATCACAGGGTGTCTATCAGATGCCTGACACTGTGCTAAGAACTTCTCGTGCATAGACTTCCTTAGTCTTGCCTACATTCTTCTGAGGCAGGAACTACTAAATATGACCCTTATTTTATGACAGAGGTCCAAAGAGGTCCAAGAGCTGTAAAACAGAGAGCTGGGTTTCAAAGCCTAAATTGGTAACCTGTATATTTTCCGACCTCTGGAAATCAAAGCTGAGTCCATAAGACAGGATCTCACCAGTTTACCAAACTCTGGACACCCAGTGAAAAGCCTTGTATCCAAGGAAATGTACAACCCTCCCAAAAAAGCCAAAGAATTGATTATATAATCAGTCTCTCTCTCTCTCTCTTTCTCCATTAGGACACAAGGTATTTCTTCTGTTTGTGGACATTTTGATAAATTTAGTCTGGAATATTCTGCTTGTGCACCAGGACATCAAAATGGAAAGTCAGGGGATCACTGTTACTTCAACAAATAACAAATTATAAAGCAAGGGATGTCACTGGAGTTATTGAGGTTCGAAAGTATCTCAGGACCCATTTACCATCGAGTTAGGCCTCAGGACTCCTGGGAAACAATGCCCAGGTAATTATTTTAAATGAGCATTAATTATGTCATTATTAGAAATGGGGAGAAAATGCAATTTCCTTCTGTCACTTCTTGATATCTTAACTAGAGGAATATTTGCCATGCTATTATAACAAGCCACTGTTCGCATAATGGTGCCCAGGCAATAATACAGAGACATGTACATTTTCATATGAATATATCATGCCTAACTAATGAGATTGCTCATTTCATAACTTCAGTTCCATTTTTATTATTTCATAAAACTGGAAGTCCTTATCCATTTTATGAAAAACACCAAACCTTTGTGAAATTCATTAAATAAGCATAAAAAATTCATTAAACAAGTGAATTGCATTCAGGGCTGCTTTGATGCAAATGCCCTTTAAGCAATGTAAAACTCCATATTGATTTAACCTTTCATGTTCTGATATTTCCATGTGGATATAAAAAAAAAATTCTTTATTCAGGGAATGAAATTAAGTGCTGATCCCTTGATCTCCAGCTGGGCAAGATAGATTGGTCAATTTAAGTAGCTGCTGCTGATCAGCAAACAACTGAATTTAAAAGTATTAAGGCATGTCGATATTTTAAGTATTGTCACCTGCACATCAAGCAAAGGAAAAAAAATTATTATTCCAGCTCAATTAAGTTTGTGTTTGCCGTCAAGCTGACCTTGGAAAGGCCAGCCCATTGGGCCATGGCTTCGTGCCCTTGGAAGTTGACAAGGGCAACAGTGGCAAGATGTAAAACACCAACAATAGCCTGAATATTTTGAATTGTGTGGTCAGAGCAACCACAAAATAATTAGCCTGGAGACACGGTCCCCTTGGGCTGTGTCCCCTCATTAGTGGGAGGCAGACAGTGGAGCAAACACTAGTTCAGAGGAGGAGAAAGGAGTTTGCCCTTCACTTGAGAAATGCTTCTGGGAACTCTCATTAGGCAAAGAGCATGAAGCAGATTTCAAAGGACTTCAGAGCTGACCCCTAGCCACTCATTCATTTATTCATTCACTCAGTCATTCATTCATTTATCCAACCAATATGTATTAGATGGCTACTCTTTGCCAAGTATTATGCTTGGTGCTAGAGGAATAAAGTTTGAATAACATAGTTGTAGCCCTAGTTCAAAAAAGAAATAAATAATCAGGTCCATAGTGTTAGATGTCTGAATCAAATCTCAGCTATGCCATTTATTAATCACATTGTGATTCAATCTCTATGGGCATCAGTCTCCTTATAGTTTGACTTCATGAGGTTGTTGGACCAACTAAATGAGATATTGTATATAAGAACCTTCAGCAAAGCAGATCAAAACAGAAAATGACTGATAAGTGGCGGTCATCACCACCATCCTCATCCCTGCTATTATTTCAATCTTAGCTTTCTCCTTTTACAGATGAAGAAACTGAGATTGGAGAATAGAGGTCACACAAACACTGGGTAGCAGACTGGGACTCACAGAAGACTTTTCCATGCCAACAGTGGCCCCCACACCCCCTAAACTATAAGTTTTGCATTTCGATTGATTCCTGACTCTACCTGTCTTCTCTGACCTTAAAATCCAGAGGGGGAACTACTGAAACTTCAGGTAAGGCATGATCCAGGAGCTGAGTGATGTCACCAGGATCCAGATTCTTTCTCTCGACTTTTCAGCTCCATTTGCTTGGTTATGACTCCAATCTCAATCAGCATTTCCAGTCCCAAGACAGCTTACAGCAATTTGAAGAGCTTCCTCTTCCTTTGTTTGTGTCCTGGAGAAGAAGAAAGAGAACCTTTATCTCAGTATTCCCAAAGACCTGAAAGCCAATATAATCACACCAACTAAATTCACCCTTCCACTCCTGAACCACTATCTAGGTGGAATGCATTGATTGACTTAGCCTGGTCTCAGTCACATTCCAGCCTGAGCCAGGAGTGCTAGAGCCTGCCCAAAATCACAAAAATCAGGGCCTGTTGGGAAAGTGGGGAATGGTAGAAAGAATGCACTCTCGAGATGTAACCACCAAGGTCCTCACATAAACTTAAAAGACAAACAAACGCAGCACTGGAGGGTGAAGATTCTGCCATATATACCAGTATTCATAAAAACAATGACATGAGAAAGAGTTTAGTCTGGATGCTTATCAACATACACTAAATTATGAACTCCAAGAGGAGAGGAAATCACTTTTGTCCTTTGCACCAACATCTCCCCAGGGTGTGGCCCTGTGCTTGGGACCATTAAGTAGTTGGTGGATGTGTGTCCAATGACCTGGTTGGAGGCTGCATCCCAGCCCCACCACTGACACATGAGGAGAAGTATGTGAAGTACAAATAATTCAGGCTGTATCACAGCATGCTGTGAACATCCAATGAAAGAGTATCTGTAAAGCACACAAAAGAAATATGGCCAATAGGAAGCATGTGTATGCACATGTATGTGCTCAGTCGTGCCTGACTCTTTGTGACCCCATGGACGATAGCCTGCCAGGCTCCTCTGTCCATGGGATTTTTCCAGGCAAAAATACTGGACCAGGTTTCCATTTCTTCCTCCAAGGAATCTTCCCAACCCAGGGATCAAACCTCCATCTCCTGCATTGCAGGAGGACACTTTACTGCTGACCATCAGGAGAAGCCACAAAAAAGAAATCTGGCCAATGGGAAGCATCCCCAAAATGCTCTCTATTCTTATTGCTATCACTTGGTACCACCAGACTCCAATCTGTGGTTTCTGCAGATCACACAAAGATATGTCACATTAAGGAAAAGTCACTGCCTCCAACACACCCTGCGTTGTCTTGACCCACTGTCTGTGTCACTGATGTCCCCCTTCTCCTCAAGACCCAGAGCAAAAGCCGTCTTCTCTGTGAGCCCTTTCCCAACCCCCAGAGCTGGAAGCAATCCCTCTTTGCCCCACACTCGCATAGATGTTTTTCTCTTCTCTCCTTTGGAACCCTTACCACCTTATATTACTATCTACCTCTTATTTCCCTGGAGGTACTCAGAAACTGTTGGAAACAATGTATTAAATTCTGCTTGTATGCCCAGAAGTGGGATTGCAGGATCAACTGGTAGGTCTATTTTTAAGGTCTATTTTTAGTTTTTTAAGGAAACTCCATACTGTTCTCCATAGTGGCTGCACCAGTTTACACATTCCCACCAACAGTGTAAGAGGGTTCCCTTTTCTCCACACCCTCTCCAGCATCTATTGTTTGTAGATTTTTTGATGATGGCCATTCTGGCTGGTGTGAGGTGATACCTCATTGTAGTTTTGATATGCGTTTCTCTAATAATTTAGTGATGTTGAGCATGTGCCTCTTAGGCATCCGTATGCCTTTTTGAAGAAATGTCTATTTAGGTCTTCTGCCCATTTTTTGATTGGGTTGTTTGTTGTTTTGATATTGAGTTACGTGAGCAGTTGGAGGGGAGGGGTGGGAAGGAGGTCCGAGAGAGGGGATATATGTATAAATACAGCTGACTCACTTCCTTGTACAGCACAAACTAATGCAACATTGTAAAGCAATTATACTTCAATGAAAAATTTTAAAGTAAAAATAAATAAAATTTTAAAAATTAAAAAGCTAAAATTGTGCCTATAGATCACCCCAATTGTGGTACTTCTGTAAAAGACATGGGGCATCAGGAAGGAACTCAATCTTGGAGCTTGGAATCAGGGCTTAGACATATCTAAATATGTGAGGCTCCCTTGGTTGCAAGGGCTAAAATGCAAACTCTAGCTAGCAAAGTCTATGGAAAGAAAATAATAAGAGTATGATTGTCACAGTATGATGGGAATGTTATTGATGGAAAGATGCTCACAGACTCAGAGAATGTTAAGGTTTTATCATATCAAGGGAGTCAGAAATTAACAGAGATGCTATGCCAGGCAGAAGATAGCACAGCATGCAACCATCAGGGCCCCAGACCGAAACCACCTGCTTGGATGAAAGATGTCCATGTTAATCTTCATGAGAAAGGTCAATGGTTAATACCCTTCTGGTTCTCACCTCCCCTGACTCTTTGCAGTCTCTGGCCACTCCCCTACTCACTTGTACAAACACATTCCTGAACTGACACATCGAGTGAACCTAAGGTTGATTTTTACAGGACTAAGTCCTAGAAATTGCATTCTTTTCAAGTGTTTAGCTGCAATAACTCTATGAGGCAGGTACTGTTCTCTTCCTCATTGTACAGATAAAAAACCAAGGGGAATTCCCTGGCAGTCTGGTTAAGACTTCGCCTCCCAATGCAGGGAGTGTGGGTTCAGTCCCT